AAGCTGTCGGTCACCGAAATCGAAATCTCGTTGCCCGCTTCGGAAGGATGTTTTAATTTACATATATATTTAGTTTTAAAAAAATATGAAATCAAAATGACCCTATATTTTTCATAGTTTAAATGAAAGAGCGTTGTACCTCAAATCCTTTATCTATCCCAAAGGATAAACACAAGACTTGAGGATGAGGCTCGGCCCGCAGTTTATGTTTTGAAGCGTTGTACAGCTTGATCTCCTCCATCCATTAGATACACACATGATCGGACGGCTCCCCATCATCGTACCCAATAGAGTGATCCCATGACCGTCCACACTAAAACCTTAAGATCTCGGCCTAGACTCAACTAAATCACTTCGGGTTTGATCCTATGAACTTGTCTAAGTGAGACGAACATATCTATATGGTAATCATGCAATTAAATTAAGCCTAATCAAAAGGAGAATCCAAATAGTCTCGGGAGAAAGAAGTTTCATACCTTGGCTCTGAGAAGTGAAGCTTCAATCAGAGGGTATTGGAATGTTCATTGGGATCCAAGGAGGTTAGAGATTGAGCCTCTGGTTTTGGTATAAAGCCTATGTATGATTTTGATCAAGATCAATTTTGGGTGTTGGTTTAGAGCTATTATAGAGGCTATTTCAGAGGGTAATTTGATGGGGCTTTGTCTTCTCTTGTTGTTGTGAAGGTGTGGGCACAAGCAATTGAAGTTTGGTGGATTTTTTAGGGATGTCCTATTTCTGCCCTAATTTTTAAGCTCAAAATTAGGGTTACACAGGGGGAATGAAGGCAATGGAGTGATTGGAATGGGCAGTGGAGTCTCAAAGAAGCTCTGTGAGTGATTTGGGAAGCTCTCTCTGAGAAAATTTAGCACACCTCCCATGGTCGTGGAGGTTAGTTTTTTATAAAAATGGTCATGGGGTGGCTCTCAGGGCAAATGTTTGGGTGCATTGTGGTACTTAGGTGGAGGGCAGAGGAGCTCTACAATTTAGTTTGGCTGAGCTGGCCTCTAGGTTAGATTTAGGTGAAATTCCAGAGGGGGTGTCTGATAGCGACTTTTTATATGCATCCAGGGGAATCTGTCAAAGCAATTTAATGCAATGAGGTTTAGTTTTGGTAAGGGTATCTTAATCATGTGCATTTTTGGAAATAAAATCCCTTAATTTGGGGGACTTTTGGTCCATGGCTTAGTTTAAATGGTTAGATGAGTTTTGGCTCACTCTTAGGGTCTAACCAATGGCTGAGGTGGAGTTAATTTGACGACCTTAGGGTGGTTAGGACATCTTTAATGCATAGGTTCAATGTGGGTTCAAGTGATCAAAGTTTGGGTTTGGGCTAGGTTAGCCATGTCAATTGACCCAATTTATTGATCAACATTGTGTAGATGATTGTTATGAAGATTTTTGGTGAAGGGTTGAAGTGATTTTGAGTTCAATTTGTAGGTCAATTTGAGGGATTTTTGAAAATGGCCAATTTGGGCATGTTGGGCTAGACATGGGTCTAGGTTAGGTTAGCCTTGGGCTAAGTCCAAATTGAATGATTCAAATGTTCAAAAGGGAGGTGTTGTGAAGATTTTTCATGAAGTGATAGAGTGAAAATTTTGGGGTTAAGGCCCTCAATTTGGTGAGATTTTGAGACATGGCTAATTTGGGGCAAATTTGGAGCTTTTTGGACTTAGGTTGAAATCAAATGAATTGAGGTTTCACCAAAGCCAATTGAAGGTCAATTTTGATGTGTGAGAATGCTATGAAGATTTTTCAACACAAATTGTGGCCAATTGAATGTGCCATGGGTTCAATTTGGTGGAACCAAGTCATAGGGCCAAAATTGGGTTTTTGGTTTCAATCAAAATTGTGTCCAAATGATGGACCAATTGGGTTGGAATTGGTTTAGATTGGTCATATCAAGGGTAAATTTGAGTTTATAATTGAAATTGGGGTAAATTGAGACCAATTGGCTAGACATTTGAAGTAATTTGGGGAAAGTATGGGCCTTTAAAGAGCATTTTGGGGGTTTTGATCAAAGATGGTTAAATTGGCCAAATTGGGTCATGTGATAGTTGAGAAAGATGAAATTGAGAATATTTAGAAGGTTTTGGAAATTTTTGGGATTTTTTGGAATTTTTGGCATTTTGGGGTAAGGAGGGGTATTTTGATAATTTGGCCAATTTTGGTGATTTTGTGTAGTTTGGGTGTTTTCAAGGTATTTGAAATTATTTTTGAGTCAAGTTGGGCCAAATTTAGGAGGAATTTATTGGGATTTTCTGGTAATTTTTGGAATTTTTGGGATTTTGAGCCCAGGTTGGGTGTCTTGGTAGAGTTGAGGTACCAACCAACATCAGTAAGCCATGGACTAATGGAAACCCCATTTTGGGTCCACTATGTAGTGATTTTTCCCCATTTTGGGTTCTCTATGTAGTGGTCTTAGTCAAACCCTAGCCTAGGGCTAGTGGGTTTAGGGGACCACCTACAGGAGTCTCCCAAAAGGTTTAGGACTTTCCTGTTGACTATCCTTTATACGAAATTTGAGTTCATGGTTGTGAGTGAATGTGGGTGTAGATAAGTGTATTGAGTGCCTTAGCTCTAGACCAACACCCAGGGTCAACCCTAAGGTCAAGCAATCCTAAGGGTTACTCATCTTGAGTTACCCTATATCCCCACCTACTAAGTGCTAGAGGTTAGGACCAATATGTGGAACTTCAAGTTGAGTAAATGGTGAGGGTTCCTTGTCTAGTTTTCTAAGAATAGTCAACAGGAAATTCCTATGGCTATACCTTAGATTACTAAGAGGAAAAACTAAACCTCAACCAAAAGTGAGGTCAACACAACATGAATCCTCACCTCATCTTTAGGCCTTTGTATAACTATGCTGTGCAATTTAAGCCTTAACTCGTCTTAGGCTCCTAGGTTCTCGTTTGTTACGACATAAACCCTCCTATGTTTCAGGCTATTTGTATGATTGTGTCATACAAATGTAAGCACTAAATAAAAATAATTGGCACGATGAAACATTTAATACTTTTTTCTTCGAAATTGAAGTTAAACCATAGGATAGATTGGGAAGTCATTGAGGTTCTCCTCAGGATGTATGACAACCCCTAGTTTTCTCTCTTTAGATTCTATAACAATGTTCCAAATTCGAGCATTTCCCATTTAACACTCCATGCTCCGATCTTTGAAGAGTCATATCCTTTTAAATTCTTGAAGGCAATACTTTCTGATCTAAATTGAGAGTTTTCTTAGGCGACCTCGGTCATTTAAGATGTAATTAACTATAGGTGTTTGCTCTTATAGAAAACTTTAGAACACAACTTAAAACAAACCCTATCTAATTTTTCATATTAGATAGGGTAACTTGTCGGTCAACATAAATGGTTTTGCAGACTGAAACAGATGTCATAAATTCTTTAGTTTATTTAATCGGACTTCACTAGTAAGTAATACATCTATTTCTCAGGATATATATATATCACTTACGGAGTCGTGCTTGTTTATTTAAACTATTATTTATTTGAGATCGATTTGGTCTTATATTTTTAAAAATAAAAACTATTTCATTTCAAAACTATATATATTATATATTAAATTAAATATCGCCCTTCTCAACATTATGGCGACCGACAACCACATCACAACCACAAACCACTGCTAACACTGCTTAAACACAGCCACAACACACACCCACAACATCAACACATCCCCAACCTAGCCCCAACACACACCGAACAAAAGAAACACAACACCTCCCATCACAACCACAACCACAACACAATACCAAATTAACCAGTCCTCCTCATCACATTCACATCCACAACAACATCACACAGAACACCCAACCACACAACCCAACACAACCAAAACACATTGAACACCTAAGGCCAACCACAACCCACATCCCAATAAGGCAATCAACACAACCCCAACACAACACACACCCATAGCCTAAGGCCTACTTCATAAATAAGCCTGAAAGCCTTTCTCAGGTCAAATTTTGAAATTGAGAGGGTGATTGAGAAAATATATAAGGAAACTTTTGAACAAAAAGCTACTTAATACATCCTTTCTCTTGCACCTTTCTCATCTCTAACAATCTTCATTCTTGTGCAATTATCCGGCAATAAAATTCTAATCCAACTAACATCTCCTCTCTCCATCTCCAATTAGCTATTCGATAATAGTGATATTATATATTTCGTTGTTAGCTTTGAAAATATCTTCCTCCCACTAAACTCATTCCAACTTCAAAACAATCCTACGACAACCATAGCCACAACACATACCCACGGCCTAAACACAACCCCAACACAGCCCCAATATAGCCCCAACACAGCTTCAACACAGTCACACCCCCAACACAACCACAACCACAACCGCAGCCACAACACACACACCGACAGTCTCAGCACAACCACAACCACAATAAACAAAATAACCAACCTTATATATGCCGACAACTACAACAAATAGATATCCAAAGCAAACCACATCACAACAAGACAATCCATAAGAAAAAAAACTTTCACCCATTCTCCAAATTATCAAAAAATTGAAAAACACAAGAGGAAAGCCATTTCATCGGAAAACCACAAAGGGATTACCATTCCATTGAAAAATCATCACTGATTGCTTATATAATAAAAGACATTCAATCCAAAAACTTACAACGCACAGTAAGTGAGGTCGAAATGAGGAAGAAGAGGTGAAAAGGCAAGCGAGAAGCACTCGAGTGAAAGAGGAGAGTGAGCCATCAACTAGGCATAACAGAGGTCGAGCGAGGAACGAAAGGTAAGCAGGTAAGTAGTTGAGCTAAGAACGCGGACCACAAGATTGATCACGCGACTGCATTTAATAAACAACCCCTATCACATCTTAGGATAAGCAGGTTGAATGTGATACAAACTTGCAGCGATTAAGCTGCCACAAACGCAACATTAATCTAGGATCGTCAGATTACATCGAGATTCATGCCCCCATTCTTTTTGGAGCAAAAAAAAAATAAAAACCAGAACCGAGACATCCTGCTTGTTGGCGCATGTTATCCCAGAAAGAGCACTTTAGCTTCTTCCTCTTCCCTATCCTATTCTCCTCCACCCAAATAATAGCGTTACCCAAATCTATCAAATCCAAGCGCTCTTACTTCTCCCCCTCTCCCTCTCTCTCTCCTCTGGCAATGGCTTTCACGGTTTTCTTCTCGGGTGCCGCTAGCGGAATCCCCGGACTCATCCGCCTTCAGCGATCACCGCGCGTTCCGAGCGGCCCCCCGACCCGCCGTTTTAGTCGGCGACGGCGGAAACTTCGTTTGTGGAAGACAGCTCCGCCCATTTCCCTTACAAGGGATACCTCTTTCTCTTCATCCGAAGATCGCCGGAAAATATAAGATCCTCCCGCCGATCTCCGCCGCAGCTTCGTCTTCTCCGGCCGAAGAAAGCGATTCTGCGGGGTGAGGTCCGTCTCATCCTTGAAGTGAAATTTTGTGTTCCCTTAAATAAAAGAATCTACTAATTTAATTTTTCTCCGCCGTTGGGATTTTTCTCAGGCAAGCGCCGGTGCCCTTAACCGTCAAGTACCAGGCTCTCATCACTGGGTCCTTCTTCTTCATGTGGTACGGCGTTCGAATATTCCGTTAAAGTGGCGTGTAATTACAGTGTGATGAGTGAGCTCTAACTACGTTTCTGCCACTGTAGGTATTTTCTGAATGTGATTTTCAACATTCTCAATAAGAAGATCTATAATTACTTCCCATATCCGTAGTAAGTATTTTCGTGGTTTGTTGCTGGACCAGTTGATGTTTTTTGATTGATGGACTGTCCGTGTTTGGTGTTATATACTGGCAGCTTTGTCTCTGTCATACATCTATTGGTAGGAGTGGCGTACTGTCTGGTGAGCTGGGTAGTTGGGCTTCCTAAACGCGCTGTAAGTTGTGCCGCCTGAACCCGATTGCATATGTACACCATCAAAAATTTGTTCGGTTCTGAATCATGTTCTTTCAATTCAGTTTGGATGGCTGGAAATTGGGTTTATTGAATTAATCTTTTGATTGAATAGCTGGAATCAGTAATATTTTATGTTCCTCTTATTTTAGAAAACTAAACAGGAAAACTTTTAAAGAGGAGCTCCATGAGAGACTATTCTATTTTTTAACATAATTGCGCTTATCTTCGAAAGGCCAGATCTCTTCAAAGTTTTGTTTGGAGAGGCCCATTTTTCTGTTTTTGCCATCGGTATTTATTTTTCCAAGTTCTGTTAGGCTTTTCCGAACTAACTTTTCTGAGTCATAATTTGTAGTAAAAAGGTTTTCATCTAAATGAATATTACTTTATTTAGTCCACTTGTCCGGCCATGAAAATAGTCAAAATATTTTCCCAAATGAAGAGCATTAGCTAATCCGTTTATTGGCTTATGAATTCTATGTGAATGATCATAACAGTCATGCTGTATTGAAGCCAGGCATTTGTATAGTTTTTTGGATGGTATTCATATGGCAGTTTGGGAATTACCTTATGGAGAGAGTTTAAAAAATTGTAGGAAAAATGGAATTGATTATTGTTGCGTGCAAGAAAATTTACAACGGTAGCTTGATAATTTATCTTAGCGGTTCCCGAAGATCCAACATACATACAGATAAATGAAAAGTAGTTTGATGAGACACCAACTTTCTTACGTGGAAAACCCTGGAAGAGGATAAAAATTGTGGGGTATGACCCAGTTAAAATAATCTACTATATAATCAGGAATACTGAGGACCACTTTTCACCTTGATTAGAGAATATGCAATTACAAGATCATGTTGAAATCATAACTGTTTTGAAATAATCTAACATATATAACTATTAAGGCTAGTTGAAGCAATTACTATTATTATCTAACTATAATAGTTATGTTTGGGCAATAACAGTCGTGGTTGCAGTCAAAGTCGTAGTTGACTATAGAACTTATAATTGATGGTTATGACAATCGTAGTAGAGCTACTATAGCCACAGTTAGAGACTATAACAACTGTATTTGGATGTAGAAGTCATAGTTGTAGGAGGCTATAATAGCCATGGTAATGTGATCAATGTTATAGATTGTGAGGATCAATAACGGCTGGTGGTCGATGGCGACTTTTGGTGATCTAAAGTAAATTCTTGTGGTCGGTGCCGATCTTGTGTGATGAGAGACAATCATTGGGACTTTAAAAATTAAACTTTAGTAGTCAGCTCACGAATCTCTTTTCATCTCTCCAAGTAAAGAATGAAGGTCTATCAATAGTTTTGAACAAGGGTCATTTTATTAAATTTGGTTAATCTATTCTCTCAGAACACTCCATTGGATTTTTTATCACAGACAATTTTTTTCAATATTTATGTGACTTTTATGACATCGTATTTGAATGATCTTGCATTCATTGGATTCTTCTCGTCCAATTTGAATATAAGCATGCCAAATTTTTAGATCATTTGACGTTTAATTGATTCACTAAAACATTTGACTACACTAATTATTTGATCTAGGTTGATTTTAACTCAAATTTGACCACTTTTAGTATCATTGAGTTTGTCTTATCAAGACACTCATTTTAATTACAAACTTGTTCAAATTAAGGTTTTAGAGATCTTGAATTTGAAATGTTTTTTTTATTTTTTATTTTGCTAAAAATGCTTCAAGTTTCATGCATGATGATAAGATTTCTTGATGATACATCAATTATTTAAATAATAATATAAAGTCTTAGATTGCTAATGAATTAATAGCGATCTATTGACACTCAGTTTAAGTACAAAATTGTTAAAATTAAGGCTTTAGAGATCTTGAATTTGAAATATTTGAAATGTTTTTTTTATTTTTTATTTTGCTAAAAATGCTTCAAGTTTCATGCATGATGATAAAATTTCTTGATGATACATCAATTATTTAAATAATAATATAAAGTCTTAGATCGCTAATGAATTAATAGCGATCTATTGACACTCAGTTTAAGTACAAAATTGTTAAAATTAAGGCTTTAGAGATCTTGAATTTGAAATATTTTTTTATTTTTTATTTTGCTAAAAATGCTTCAAGTTTCATGCATGATGATAAAATTTCTTGATGATACATCAATTATTTAAATAATAATTTAAAGTCTTAGATTGCTAATGAATTAATAGCGATCTATTGATTGCGTTAGAGATAAATAGTAGCTTGATATAACAATTCCATGATTTGAATTTTAGTCTTCATCAAGGTGATATGTTCACAAATAGATTTTTCAATATTTATGTGACTTTAATCACATCAAATTGGAATGATCTTGCACTGGTTGGATTCTTCTCATCCAATTTGAATATAAGCATGTCAAATTTTGAGATAATTTAACTGTCTAATTGATGCACCAAAGCATTTAACTACACTTTAAATATTTGATCTAGGTTGATTTGGACGGATCACTTTTAATTTCATTGAGTTTGTTCTGTCGAGGCGCTCAGTTTGATTATAAACTTGTTGAAAATGAGGCTTTAGAGTTTGTTCTGTCGAGGCGCTCAGTTTGATTATAAACTAGTTGAAAATGGGGCTTTAGAGATCTTGAATTTGAATTGAAAATGTTTTTTTTTTTGCTGAAAATGCCTCTAGATTCATGCCTGATGATCAAAATTTATAGATGATATATCAATTATATTGATAATACTATAAAGTCTTAGATTGCTAATGAATTAATACCAATCCATTGATGGCTTTAGAATTAAGTAGTAGCTTGATACAACAATGCCATGGTATGAATTTTAAACGTCACCATGGTGATATGATTACTCATTGCTCAGAGAGCTAGGCAACATCGTAGCCCTTACCCTAGTAAAGTAAGGTGTTTTGAGTGAATTGATTATTTCATATGATAAACTTATTTGAAGAATTTAAAGGGATTATCAAAAATAATTATAATAAACTTGTTAAATAGATTATCTTAAACAAAATATCCAAAAGCCATTTTAAACAAATTCAATAATCTCATTTGTACTATTGTATGACCAAAATTCACCATAATCCGTGTATTTTTCATTACTTGATTCAATTTTTACCTTCTCTTCATTTGTCTCCTTAAACCAATCACCTTTTATTTGAGCTTGACTACTTAAGAACTCAGAGCACTTGTTTCTAAGTTTGATCTATCATATTTCTTAGTTTTCATCTATTTTTCTCAAACATTTGATTCTCTTTTGACATCACCCATATCAAGTGGTCCTCATAAAACACAAACTCATCTTTGACATTTGAATATTGGCACTCTTCACTTCACTCTATACAATTTCTTGCCTCATCGCATGACCCCTATAGGGGAAAGTATCTTAATAGTAGCACCCACTCCAGAGGAATGGAAGGCCCCATGACCTCACTTTACCTTGCTTTTAACCTATTAAGCAAATACCTGGCTCACCATTAACAACTTACTATTTCATGGTGCTCTTCTCCATAAATTCATTGCAAAAATTATGTGGCAGTCAAATTTGCTGCATTTATTTTGCAGTTTTTTTACTTAGATGAAATTATTGTTCAAGTATTATTTAGAAATTTTGCACTTTGTGGGTGTTAAGCTTCACCGATTTGTCGTTAGAATTCTATCTCCAAGTAAATTTCAGCTTGCATTCTGACTAGAATTGTTATTTGTGTAGCCCATCGATTCCAATATTTTGAAATTGCTTATCCCAGTTGGGATTTGCCACGCTATTGGTCATGTCACAAGCAATGTTTCATTTGCTGCCGTCGCAGTCTCCTTCACCCACACAATCAAAGGTATTGTTAAAATGTTATTTGCTTCTCTACTGAAACAGAATTTGGAGTTGTGGAAAGAATGAGTGTAAAAAGTTCTCATTTCTTGTGATTCCTTTCAGCTCTGGAACCTTTCTTCAATGCGGCAGCCTCACAATTCATTCTTGGCCAGCAGATTCCCTTAACATTGTGGATGTCACTTGCACCAGTTGTGCTTGGTAACGTTTCTTTCTGATAATGTGTTTTGAAAAATTTATGGTCTTCATCTGATGGACTAAAATGATTTATTGACTGCTTAACATTACCCATGGATATCATAGGTGTCTCTATGGCCTCTTTAACTGAGTTGTCATTCAACTGGACTGGCTTTATTAGCACTATGATTTCTAATAATGATTTCTAATATCTCCTTCACCTATAGAAGCATTTATTCAAAGAAAGCAATGGTATCTCTCTCTTTTCCTAACATAATTTTTTTTTTCTGTTTCTTTCTGCCGTTCTTTGTTAAAACAATTTGATTTTTGCAGACTGATATGGACAGCACAAATTTATATGCTTACATTTCAATCATTGCACTGATCGTTTGCATTCCTCCTGCAATAATCGTAAGTAAATCTTCTGATACTGTTGTAGGAATAATTATTTCTGAGGTGTTACTTTCTTAATTTTATTATATGCTATGTTGGCTTACCATGTGGAGGGTTTAAGCTTGACATAATTGTAATCACGACACACAAAGGTATTTGCATCTATCTTTCTATCTATATATCAAAGAAATATCATGCTCGAATTATTTTAGAGAAGTCTGAAAGAACTGCATCGAGGATCTGCAAAGAGTTGGCTCTTCAATAGAGACTTGATGATATTTTTTGATTTATCATAGAAGAAAATTGTTTTTTTTCAGTGCCCATTCTCATAGATGTCACTGTAAGCATGAAATTTTCAGCCTGTTTTGAGAAATATGCTGCTCATAACCTAGTGATTCCAGCAGGTCAAAATTCAAAGTTTTGGTATTAAATACTTGTATTATATGAATCATTAGTATGAAAGTGTTCCCATGTAATGATTATTTAATTGCAGATTTGAATAAACTCTAAATTATTTAAGAAAATGTTTAATAGTTAATAGTGGGCCTTAAACTGCCTCAATCGTTTTCCGTAAAATTAATGGAGGAAAAAAAAAATCACATGAGGATATGGTTTAGAATGAAGGGAGTCAGACCTTGGTGGATCGCCGCACATATAGATATTGTGCAGATGATAAGAACATTGTTTTTTCATTATTGAGAAATTGCTGGTACATATTGTTATCCTACCTGATGATAAACATTTGAATCACAGTTTGAAGGACCTCAGTTGCTTCAGCATGGCTTCAATGATGCCATAGCAAAAGTCGGTTTAAATAAGTTCGTCACAGATCTGTTCTGGGTGGGCATGTTTTATCACCTCTATAATCAGGTAATTATCTACCTTGAACACACTTGAGACTTTTCTCTAGTTCTGATGTATTCTTGAAAGCTGTTATTCCAAATAATATTATGGTGGAGTTTTTTTGAACCAAATAAAAATGTCTAGAATCCAAACCATGTATTAAGTTTTAATTTTGTTTCTTAATGATAAAAATCCTCGCCAAGTATTTATTAATAAAAAGTATTCCATGTAGCCAATTATAATTAAGAAGGTATAAAGTCATTTATAAATAATGAGGACATAAGATCAATTAAAGATCTACACAATGAGCTAGTGAATAATAAGTTTTAGAGGTAACAAGTCAAACTGCAATTCATGTCGACCTTTGGAATTAGGGAGCTTGCCGCTTGAGCCTGAGTTCTTTCGGTAGTTATAATCTTAAGCTTACAATTGATAACTTGCATAATATGTGGTTTAGAAATTCCAGTTTATGGAAAATATTGAGTGTCAATTTTTGGCACATGAAGCTTCAGTGACCATAAACAATGTTTATCTTTGTCTTCACTCATTCCCTTTGTATGAATATGTTCATGTATATTGTTGCCAAATCATGTGTTTATCATGCTATTAATATTGAATTTTGTATCAAAGCCTTCATTAACATTTAATGAATTATATTTTTATCAATATTGCTGCTTTAACTGGCAGAATCCAATATGCTCTATAATAATCATTATGAGATATTATGAAAACTTTTATTGGCAACCTATCATACAAATTTCAATGAAAATTGATTAATAATAAATATAAAATTATTTCTTAGTTATGTTGAAAGGTTTTAAAAATGATGAAACATTATAATTCTGAAGTCAATACCTATGCCTTATTATTCAGACGGGTTCATTAAATGTCCACAGATTGGAATGCTGTTTTACTATCCTTTTTATGCTAAATATGATTATTTCTTCATTTTTAACGGTGATATTCTTTTCTTTATCACGTAGGTTGCAACAAACACTTTGGAAAGGGTGGCTCCTCTCACACATGCAGTCGGAAATGTGCTGAAGCGAGTGTTTGTTATCGGCTTCTCAATCGTAGTCTTTGGTATTCCCCAAGTTTTTTTTTTATAATTTTATTTTATTATGAATTTTTTTTTATTTATTAATTTGCTTCTTTTTTTTACCTTCATTCTTTAACTAATTTATTTAGAATATGTAAATCATTCAAAAATTGCTTCCAACACTTGATCTTGAACAGGAAACAAAATCTCAACTCAAACTGGCATCGGGACTTGCATTGCTATTGCTGGTGTTGCCATTTATTCCTACATTAAGGCTAAAATGGAAGAGGAAAAAAGGGTTTGTTGGCGTGCTAATATTCTAGTCACCATTTTACTGCAAACTATTCGTACTTCAATGACTGACGTTAATAGCTTCTCGACTTTTTGGCTTGCAGAAAACAAAAGCAGCTTGATGAGGGGTGATGGAAAGAGCGTAGAATAAAGAGTGTAGATTTTATTAGCAAGTGGAAACTAAAGGAGCTTTCGCAGGAATGGAAACCATTTGCTTGTTTACTCATTAAAACTCTTTCTTTTCTCTTTTCTTCTGTGTTTGATTGTTTTGTTTCACCCAGTTTGACTTGCAAAACTGTTACCCATTTTGCCCAACAGCAAATAGAACTTATTGCAAAAACCAAGAGAGCCAATAATCTGTCAGATGGTTCAGATTGCTCATCCTAGCACTAGTTCTAATTATGATTTATCTGATTGTGTTAGTATTTTGGCCGCCGCCTTTTTAGTTTCACGGCAATGAAGGGGTTGGCTGGTTCATTGGTTCCACGTGATATCTGCTATGGAATATTATTTCACTAATGTCTATCTGATACATGATATTAACATAGATCAGATATTTGTGCTCGAATGTGCAATACATTGGTTGAAACAAAGAAAAAAAATAATCAGATATTTCATCTAAAAGGCTTTTTAAATAGAAATTATTTGAATGATATTTCAGTCATATTTTATTGGTTAGTAGATGACGAAATAAATTGTATTCAGATATCAGGTATATGTCATCTTAAAAAGTGAATGAAAAAATTGTCATTTTCATTGCTTACTCTAAAAATCACTATACTGGTTAAGCAATATAACATAAATTAGACAATGTGATTGATAGAAAATGTGATTATCTGAATTTAATTAGTACGTAGATGTTATTATTGTCCAGACACAAATTGAAGAAATGGCGATAAATCTAGTTGTCATTTTTTATTATGTGTCACAAATGAGCCGCGAAACATGTAAAATTTTAGTGGCCAAGTTATAAAATTAAATTATTGGTAAACAAAATTGAGATGATGCATCTAAACATAAATCTAAACCCTAATTTTAAACAAGAAAGCATGTATATAAAAATGAAAGGTTAAGTGTTACATATGTAAATATGCAGGAAACGAGTGGTAAATTTTGGATTCAACACCGTTATCATGAGCTAAGAAATTTGAAATTATTTTCTTATGTGAAAAAGGGATCGTCGAAGGTGTAAGTATTATGAGGTTATTTTAAGTGAAAATTTAACTATTCAATATCTATTTTTAGTTGTGAACTTTAAAAACAAAAGTTGTAAGATAAATAATATAAAGAAACGTTGTCATAAAATTAAATGGGGGCAGCTAAAAGACAAATAAAATTATTTTTAAGAGTAAACTTTGGTATTTCAACATTTGTGTTATTCATGAAAAAGTGAATTCTATATGGGATTATGTAACAAGCACTTTTAAATAAGTGCAAAAAGATATGTAATGGGAGAATTAAAAGAAAATATTTTTTATAAATAAAAATAGTTTGTGGTGGAATAATAATATGTAAGAAAAAATAAATTATAAGAAGTTGTGTTACAAAAATTAGTTTAAATTTAAAAGTTTAGAGAACTGAAAAAAATAAAAGGTTGGCCACAGGGAGTCTAAGAAAACAAATTGCGACAGTAAAAATTCTATTTTTACTAATCTTTATAATAAATTAGATACTAAAAAGGGTGAAAAATATATTTATAACTAGCTAAATAAAGAGAAAAGAAAAGTATAGATTTAATTCAAGTGTATTAAAGATAAAAATCAAAAAATATTTTTCTTAGAAGAAGATATTCAACAATGGTAGGTGAGCTTTTTGATTAATTTTTCTATGAAGTTTCTGAAAATACAATCAACCTTAGTGATCTTAATATCTATATTATTAATAAAAAAACATTTTATTTTTATTACTGCATTAGTATAAAAGGATGTTGATGAGACTTTAAAGAAAACTAATGGTGGAAAATGAGTAGGACCTAATGATATCTCAATTGAAGTGCAAAATTATTTAGGAGATTTGGGAGTTTCTTGGCTTGTTAAACTATTTAATATTATTTTAAAATAAAAAAGATGTTTGAGGAGTGGAGGAAGATTATTTTGGTCCCCATTTTAATGAATAAAGGGATGCATAAGAGTGTACTAATTATAGAGTAATTAAGTTGATGTGTCATCCGTTAAAATTATGGGAGAGAGTAATTGAACATAGATTAAGACGTGATATAAAGATTTCTCATATTTAGTTTGGAGTTATGTTGGGCAGGTATACTATGCATGCTTTACATTTATTGAGACGTTTGATGGAGAAGTACAAAGAAATAAAGGACGATCTATTTATGATTTTTAATGATTTAGAAAAAGCTTATGACAATGTTCCAAGAGAAGTCCTTTGGAGAGTTTTAGAGAAAAAAATCTGTTGATATTACTTATATTCAATTCATTAATAATATGTATAGTAGAGCTTTTACTTGTATTCGAACAAGAGGAGGATTAACCAACAATTTTCCTATTAGTTGGATTACATCAGGGATCAACTTTTAGCCCATGTTTTTTTTTTTGGCTTTCGTTATGGATGCTCTTATTGGACATTTACAGGATGACACACCTTGGTGTATGCTTTTTTGTTGATAAAATTCTTCCTGTGGATAAAACTAGAGAAAGAATTCAAGAAAAAAACTTGAATTATGGAGGTCTACATTGGAGTCCAAATACCTTCGTTTCGGTAGATCTAAAGCTAAATACACGAAATGTAATTTTAGTTGTAGTAACTCTAGTGGCATAATGTAACTATGGGTGATCAAATCATTAAATGGTGTGGACCTTTTTAGATATCTCAGGTCAATTGTTCAAATGATGGTGATATAGATGGAGATGTTATTAGTAGAATTCGGTTTGGTTGGTTGAAGTGGATGAATGCTTTGGACCTATTGTGTGATAGAAAAGTACCACAAAAATTGAAAAGTTGGTTTTATAAGACGGTGATGAGACTTGCAATGCTCTATGACGCATAATTTTGGCCTTTAAGAGATAAGCATAAAAAATTAATTATTGATGAGATGAGAATGCTTAGGTGGATGAGTGGCTTCAAACTTAGAGACAACACAAAAAGATTATATCCTTGATAGGGTTGGTGCAGGTCTAGTAGCGGACATGATTAGAGAGAGTCGTCTTAGATGGTTTAGTAATTGTCGACCATCTGATTATCGAGTTATAAGAGTATATGTTTTATTTTCAACTTATGTTAAGAAAGGCAAAGGAAGTCCTAAAAAGTCTTGGACATATTGTATAAAAAAATGATTTAAATATATTAGAATTAAATGAAATTGTGAAATTAAATTGGACACAATGGAGAAAAAGGATTCATGTAGCCAACCCCACTTAGTGAGATAAAGGCTTCTTGTTGTTGTATAAAATTTTTCAAATAATTTCTCCAAGCATAGTGACCTTCACTAGGTTTATCAGAAAGGCTAGTTGTTCCACCAATTACAACTAACGTCCTTCAAACAATAATTAGGATTTCAACATCTTCCTCCATTTTTAAACAATAAAATCAGTAGGAAATATAAATTTATCAATCTTATATAACAAATTTTCAATTTGCTTTCCAATATAAGTCAATGATTGGTTTATCAATCGAATATCTCCTATTCCTAACTTCTTAATTCCTTATATTTTTAAGAGAGTTTTTTTTTTCTTTGAATTATTATGTTGCACAATTTAATGAAAGAAATAGTTTCAAATTTATCTACTTCACACTTTTTATTTATAACATTTTTTTATAAATTTAATATAGTTATGCTTTTATTTTAAAGCTTTAGTAAAGGAAATATTAACAGTCAATTTCTTGAACTTATCAAAAATTCTATTGAATTATCGGTCTAATTTTTATTTTGCAATTTTTTAGAAAAAGTTGGTAGTAGTTTTTCTACAGCTTTCATAACAATCTTTTATTTTTTTCCAAGGCTTCAATAAGTTGTTTATTAAGTTAATGAAACTCATAGCTGAGTTCTTCAATCTTAGCCTCCTCTCTAACCAACTCTGCTAGCTCATTTGCCCTCTTTACTTTTATAGCCCTGCACTACACTTTGAATTTTTTTTTGAGTTTTCATTTATGTTGCATGATAATGTCCATTCTAGTTTTTTGTTAGGTGTTATCCAACTACCCTAATTAATTTTCTATATTTTTATATATGCAACTTAACTTTGCAGCCAATTTCTCATTAACAATACTAGCTTTTCAAAAATAAGTTATTTTGTTTGAATTAATTATACTATTTAAAGCTCAAAGGATAATTAATTCTAATGTTTGAAAAGTTACTATTTTGATTATTCTAGTTATCTATAGGATTTGGTTTGTCACTAGGCCATTTAATATTCTCTTAATTTTTATTTTTATTTTATATGATAATTTTTCTAGCTAAATTATGTATTGGAGCAGGAATTATTCTATCAATTGTTTATTAGATTCATAGACTCCAAATTTGATAATAAAGCTCTTCTATAGGTCCATACACACTTTCCTCACATTTAGGTCTTCCTTGACTTGCTTTAAGTTTAGTTTATTGTACATAAAAAAATATGACTGCATGAATCTTGAGGAAATTCATCTGATCTCACTAAGAAGATACCTAAGGACCGCATCGGGATGGTCGAAATATGAATGCATTTAGCCTCGATTCATTTAGTCAGAATTTTGGTTCAATTGAAGGAAGGTGAAGATGAAAGAAGGAACATTATGCATCCGATCTGAGGGTAGGTCGTGTGTAATAATCTCCCTCTACTGATTCTAAAACTCTTCACAAAGATTGTTAATGGTCGTCCAATAAAAAAATTTTACAATCCTCTATGAAAACCTATTATCTGAAAAAGTGCCTCCCATCACATTACAATGACGCATCCTCTATCTAATGGTCTAAGTTCACTCTAGCGATTAGGTCACTGTATAGGGTTCTCTCGAGAAGGCTAACCAAAGACCTTCCAATTGACTGAAGACTTTTCAACCAATTGAACTATTATCAGACAAACAAATTATAATATATGTGGATCAATAATGTGCCACCTTGAGCAGTTGTTAATATGAAGTGATGCCAATGATGGTTACGAATACAAAAGGATCCTAGAATCAATTGCAAATATGTAAAGGTGTAATGGTGC